TAGCTCCTGTTGCATTAGGAGACAGAAGCATTTTAGCTTTGGTAGAGGACCAAGCCAGCCGTTACTAATGAAGCTGTCTAATGGGCTGAGAGTTAGCCATGCATGAAAACCCAACAACAGATACTTCTGCGCTCCATGAAAGCTAATTTTTCAGGACCATCATCACATGACATTTAACTGTTTAAAAGTAAGCTGGTAGTCAACTCGCACAGTTGATTCCCGTGCAGTTCTGCATGGCACCGCACTAAAGATTTTAAACAGAAGAGCTTTTAATTATATAACCAAAATGCAGTACGTTCAGCTTCCTTACTGTGACTCAACCCAGATTTAAAAGCAATTGATTTAATTCCTGTACAGCAGACACGTGACCAGCTGATGTTAACATATCCACTGTCTGGTCGTTTTCTTCCTTGAAGGCTGTTCAGTTCAAAAAGACTTGACACTATATTGCAGAGAAGTCCTCCAAACATGACACTCATGTTTTTCTTTCGTTTACCGGCTCTAAACTCAAACAATCGTATGTTCGTATAGTACAGTGCCTCACCTTCAGGGAACAGCAATGAGAAAACTGTCAAAGTGAATAAAACCTTGGAAGTCAAAATCCCTGTAAGAAAATACTGTAGAAAGAAAAAGGAGAGATGATATCCTGATTTTTCAGATGATCTTCTTGAAGAGTACACTGCATGTAGGCGTAGTTTTACAATGCAGTACATTGGCCAGGAGGAGACTCAACCCAAAGATCTTAATAGAAACATGAAGTGCCCCAACACTTCTGCCAGATCACAACACGACCAGCGATACTGACACAGAAGCAAGCTAATAATTTTTTTTTTTTTTTTGCACTGTTTGACGAGGCCAGATTAAACACTGTTATCTTACCCTGAAAACCTTCATGGTCCAACAAGGCATGGGAAGTTTTAAATTTTTAAAACTTCAGAAGTCTCATCCAACATCTTTAAAAGAATTGGCCGAGGAGTCAAGAACTCCTGGGACTTACATTTAATGAATTTTGTAATCCCCAAGGATGTGTTGGCAAATCAGGGCAGAAACAGAGGCACGTTATATTGGTAAATTTTACACAGGATCAGGGTTAGCATTTAAACTTCATAACTTGTATCACCTCCAAGGGGCAGGGAAGAAGAGGCTGATGGCAAGATAATAATCAGGGAAAAAAAGGATACCTCCTTTTAAATAATGCCAACCTACATGGCTGATGGAAACTAGCTCTTGTCAAGCTAGATACCAAGATTCAAGATGATCACAAGTTCTGCTGACAAAATTACCCATTGCCTAAAGCTATATGGATTTGCTAAAGGCATTTTCCTTTGTGCTTGATGACATTCAGGCCAAAGAAAAAAAGGAAACAAATAAAAAAGCACAAAGGCAGATCAATACAGCATATACCAAATCTAGCAGTTTACTTACAGCCTACTTGAATCATCCTTAGTGAGATTCTACTAGAATTTTTCTTTGCCCTAATACTGTTTATTCAAAAATTGAAAAAAGGGGATTTTCGTTCATTTTTAGAAGACAAGCTAGGACATGCTAAATTATGAAGTATTTAGATTAGGCAGCAAATTGGGTTGTTGAAGCTATACATTTACCTCAAGCATATACAATCATTAATCAAGTAATGCAGGTCTATTTTGCAAGACAGTGAACCTCTAACTCTTTGGGATGGACCAAAAATTTTGTATGAACTCCTAGTTTAGAACATATGTAGTTAAATAGCCTAATAGCATTATAATGAAAAATTCTGCAACTCTATCATTGATTTCTATAAGCAACGCAAAGATATTCTTCTCCCGTAGTTTTTGACTAATCTCATTTCAGGGCTACATTAATGAATACTGCCAATTCACACTGACGGAGCGAAGCGATGCCGTACAGCAGCAGCAGCGGGGCACGTGCCAGGAACGTAGCTAATGTTACTCTGCATCATCTCTGAAAACAACATTCAATGTTACTCTGCATCCCTGAAAACAACATTCACACTAGGAAACCCCCCTCAGCTGGTGCTCACATTTTCTTCCTACTTATCTTTCCTAGTACAGTAGTGTCCAGAGACTATTTTCAGTGGAACTAAAAACTTAAAATAGCTTTTCTATCTTAAGTAACTTTCACGTATTTCCTGCTTTATTAGTCTCATTTAAATACTAGCTGAGTAAATAACTGCAAATCCTGATTACGTCTTCAACATGCCCGTCAGACTAATCTGCAGTCCAATTCCTTAAGAATTTTAGATCAGAGGAATGTAATTTCCAGCACGAGAGACAAATCTGGTGAAAAATACGAAGTTTAACTTGACCCATCCGTACCTTTCTGTCATTGATACTTTCCCATACCAACTTGTTCAATAACCACTATGAAAACAGTTAGGGAGCTTTGCATCATGAATGTGAATGGGTAATTGCCCAACTTTCTTGAAATCTGAATTTTGAAGAAACAAAAGGATAAGGAACCTAAAATGATGTATCACAATGGGAGCATTTTTTAAAAACACAAGGAATTCTTAATAAGCTATCAAATCTCTTATTATTTGGATAGTTAAAGACTGAATAGTCCTGATGCACTAGACAGCAATTAGTAATGTGAGTTCACATACCTGCATTAATAGACACACACACAGCCACACGAAAGAAAAACAGAGACATGCTTAAGGGGAGGCCAAATTGTTTTATTTAATTTTTTAATGACCAATTGGATTTTTGGCAGAAAGCTCTGCTTTTTTTTTTTTTTTTTCTTTATAGAAATCAGCAGTGCTCAAATTGATGGGTTGGAATTTTACTCAAACTCCAGTTAATTTTAAAAACAAACAGATGAACAGGATTTCCAGATGCTGTTTCCAGAGCAGAGAGCAAAACTTCACATTTGTATGAAAATTCCATGTTTATACTCGATTGGGACATAGAATGTAAAACTATTGTCAGTAGTGCATGAATAAAACATTCACATTTGATCTGGAACCTTAAAATCAGAAAGCTGTACTCTCCTTCCAAAATTTTCATTACCTTGTGCAAATCAAGTCAAGTCTTCATGTGTCAAACAGTTAAAATTGTCCATATTTTATATACAAGACATCTACCATTCAGGCAGTGCAAAATACATCCTTTCATAACAAAACTAAAATGTACCTCTCAAAGTATGAACAAGAATATACACATAATACATGATATACACTATTTACACAACCATAAAAAATATAATACAAGGATTTTTTTTTTTTTTTATGTAAGACTTGACAGTCTTTTGCAATTTTTGTTGCAACAAGGCATGTTTAAGTTTCCTGGATGGAGTTTTCTTTGCCAATTAATCAAGAGATCTTGGAAACTATGCTTGAACTTTTAGGAGAGTTTTTAAATGGACTGCTATCAACTCCCTGTTTTGGTCAGACAGTTCAGCTGTGCCACCCACCCAGTGGCTGGGAGGCTTTGGAAGGACACTAGGGGACGGTGGGTCGCTAAATTTTGCCCCAGCGTAATTTTCTTTTTGGCTCGCTTCAGTTAGGGCAATAGGTTTCTTGGACTTGGCATTTCTGAAGTTCTCTGTGTTTTTAAGTGGCTTTTTCTCCTGCTTCTGAATTATTTCTGGCGATACTGAATCTTGCCAAAAGTTCTCTATCTTTTTTGCCGAGGTGATCTTTGTCAGCGGCATGTTACATTTACTCTTCTGCCTGTTTATCTTTGGTTGTTCACACAGATGTAAACCGTGAACGGGCTGGCTGTAGGGGATAGCAGCCTTCTCGGTCTTTCCCATTTTGTTCTTTAAGAACTGCAGAGACAAAGAACTCACGTCAACACACGACCCCTCTTCCCTCAAGAAGTGCCTCCGGCAGCCCGCAGGCACACAGCCGGCCCCCCCGGCACTCCCCAAGCAACAGCACCGGAGACGCGGAGCTCCCCCATCCCAGCTACCCCCCCAGTCTTCCCTCACTCCTCCACTGGCACGGAGGGGCTGGCCGGCAGCTCCCAGCCGCCGCAGGGCGGGCAGCGGAGACCCTCACCGCCGCCCCTCACCGCCGCCATGGGGCGCTGCGCCCCGCGCACGTCCCGCCTTGCGCGCGCGGCCGGGGTGGGGGGGTGGGGGTAAGGCGGGCGGCTGGCGCGCGGCCAGCAGGCTAAATCCGGCTGTTGCTGGGCGCAGCGGCGGGCGCCGATTGGTGGAGCCGAGCAGCCAATCGCCGCCCGCGCTTTCGCTCGTTACTTCCCTCCCCCCTTCTCCCCCCCCCCCCATCCCCGCCCCGTCCGAGCGGGCGTAACGGAAACTCTTCCCCCCCCCCCCGCGTCCGTCTGTCTGTCCACACGCAGGCGAGCCGGGGGGGGGGGGGGGGGTAGGGGGGAGGGGAAAGCCGCTCGCTGCTTCCCTCCGGCTGGGAAGCAAGCGGCCTCCCGGCTCCCAGACAGCGGCGTGAGTCCGGGGGGGTGGGGGATAAGAAGTGAGCAGAAGTAGCGGAGCCCCGTCTTTACCTCCTTCCTGAGGGGTTTGCTGGGTGCGGGTCTGGCGGGGGCGGGAGGCTCCTCCGGGGGGGCCGCGACCATGCCAGGGGCGGCTGGAACCGCGGGCGAGGGGTGAGCTCGAAGTTCGCCCGGGCCGTGCGTTCCCAGCGGAGCCCTCCTCTCCAGGCCGGCGCGGTGCTGTTGGTATTGTTGGTAGCGGCTGGGCAGGAGCCTCGCGGGGCCGGGACGGATCTTCCCCTTCTTCCGCCGGACTCTCTTCAGCGCGGGCCGAGCGCTGCCCCCCGGGCCCGCCAGGCAGCAGCTGGGCTGGTTCTCACAGTTGCTGTCCCCTCGCCTGAGGCGCTGGAGAAGAGCGGAGGGCAGCCGCCTGGGGTCTTCGGTGCCTGCCGAGATCCGAGACAGGAAGGGCGGCGGCACCGTGGTGGTGACCATGGTGGGACGTGGGGACCCAGAGCTGTACCGAGGAAGAAGGGGGGTCAAGCCCAGGCGGGGACGAGGTGGTCGGGTCGGTGGGGAGTGTCCGCCCGGGCTTTGTAGGCTGAGATGGTGGCTGAAGCGGATCCGCTGCTAGGAGAACATGGCGGGGGAGTGAAAGGAGCAGCCAGCAGCGCCCCGGTGTTGTTACCCGAGCGGGGCACGCCCCCTTCCGCCTCTGCGCCAATCGCCGGGCGAGGATGGCGTGAGCGGCACGCCTTTCCACCGGGCGCCGCCAATCTCAGCGAAACGCCGGCCTCCCTGGCCCCGCCCCGGCCAATCAGAAGCGACACAAACACTCGAGGCCACGCCCGCTTCCGCAGGTCGCCCAATAGGGGCAGACACAAACAGCGGGCACGCCCCAGTCTCCGAGTCACGGGCCCGCAGTCAGAAGCGACGGGGCGGGGTGGGCGGGACTCCCTTGCGAGGGCCGCCGGCTAATCGGACGGCGCAGAAGCGGCCGTGTCCCCGCCCCCTGCGCGCCCAGCAGCCAATCGAAAGGGACGTAAACAGGCGGCGGTGCGCCCCCTGCTGGGAGGCGGCGCGGCGGCCGGTACGCACGCCTCGCCCGCCATGGAGGGACCGGCGCTGCGGCCCGCCGGGATCCCGGCGGCGGCGGCGGCGGCGGAGGAGGGACTCGGCCGCGAGGCGGCGGGGCGGAGGCGGGACGAGCGGAGCCTGGAGGCGCTGAGCCTGGCTGGCGGCGGGGCGGCGGCGGCCGGGCGGCAGTTGCCGGAAGGACGGCGGGCGACGCTGGCGAGCGCCTTGGAGCTGGAGGGGACGGTGCTGCGTGAGGGGCGCCTCACCCAGTTCGTCGCCAACAACCTGGAGCGGCGGATCCGGCTGAGCGGCGCCCCGCGGGGTGAGGCGGCGGCGGGGGGAGGCGGCGGCGGCGGCGGCGGCGGCGGCTCCTCCATCCCCGCCATCGACCCCGCGGCGCTGCAGGACGTGGTGGCCCTGGCCGGGCAGGTGGCGGCGCAGGTGGACGAGCTGCTGCGCAACGTGCACTGCGGGCTGCAGGCCCTGACGGCGCTCAGCGTCGGCTGCATCCAGACCTACCGCGACGGGGTGGAGAGCCTGGGCGAGGCGGCCGACCTCAGCATCCGCGCCATGTACGCGCTGGTGGCGCGCTGCGAGGAGCTGGACCGCGCCATGCAGCCCGTGCCCGCCTTGGCCAAGCGCATCCGCGACATGAAGGGCACGCTGGAGCGGCTGGAGGGGCTCTGCAAGTAACGCCGACCGGCCGAGGCCCCGCCGGGGCTGGAAGCCGGGGCCCCGCCGGCCCTCGGGCCGCTGCTCTCCCGGTGCGGTGGCCCCGCCAGCCGGGCCGACCACGGAGCCTCCGGCTCCCTGCCTGTGCGTCCTTCCCCGTCCCTCTCGGTGCCCCCCTCTACGCGACCCAGGGTGGCCGGTTCGCTGCTCTTAACCCGGAGCAAGAGAAATTTTTGCAGCCGGTTAAGGAAAAGGTCCCGGTTGAAATGGCGGGGAAAATGGCAGGTGGTGCTTTTTAGCTTTAGCTCCATTAAAGAATTTGGATTCCACATGCCTTACGCTTTCTATTTATTGAGGGCTAGGAAAAACTAACCAATCTCCAAAGCAAATATTCATTTTAATTTTGTTTTAACTAAATTTGAAATTGTCATGAATACTTGCTTGATGCTTGCAGGCGTACATGCTTACTTGTGGTTGACTTAGTGCCTGACTTCTGCTGTTACGGCAAATAAACACACAGAACCCTGCTGTCTTACAGGACACAGTTGTAAGAGAAGTTAAGAGGAAATTTAATATATATAGCAAAGACACTTGCTTTCTGAAAAGAATATCAAATCCATGGAATATAATTGGGATTCAGATAAGAAAAAAATATATATGCAAAGTTCTAAATAAAAGCTTTCAGATAAAATATACTTTTCCTCTATTAGTCTCTACAGTTTTCATAGTGTAGAAGTTTAAATGGCAGCACTGTGAAATGATCCTGCAGTTTTGTTGCTTTTTTGTTTTCAATTGAGAAAATAATTAGATAAGGAACATGAATATGTGATGACATTACATGGGTGTATGACTGACATGGGTACTTCGGGAGAATTTATTTGTGTAACATGAAGCTTTTGATATGCATCACTGTATGCAAAAGTGATTTTGCTGTATCAGTATTTCCTCTGAGGCCTGAGAGTAGCCAGATTCTCTGCTCGCTATGGCTCCTATGCAACTAGCCTCTTAGATGATGCTCTTAGCAATCTGTTTAGGTCACAAATGCCCTTGTAACAAGATTTCTGCAGAGAAATGATCACTGTGATCTTACGTATGTGTAATGGTGCTTTTGCCGACCAGTGGCTCCTAAAAACCTTGGAGCAAAGGTAGCCAGAAATACTACGCAAGTCCTGTAACTTTGGGTTAAAAAGAGCAGATAGTGCAGCTGCTACCTCACCATAATCTAATTAAAAACACTGAATGAGGGGCAGAAGCTGTCTCATACTGTGCTTCTGCGTGTAGATAATACTGAATTGTAACAAAATAATTTGTTTTTATGCCACCCTGGTTTGCATAATGCCAGTCTCTGGTCTATTTTGGGCTTCTCAACATGGCCCTGTCTTTCCCTCAGCACAGGGATTTATTTTACCTGTGGCCTTCCAGCCCAAGAAATGGGGGAAGGCTGGAAGTGCACTGTGACAACGTTTTCGTGGTCACAGCTCTTGTGGTACTGTCTTCTGGGGAATGGCTGGAGCTCCAAAAAGGGACCAGAGAGGCTAGTGGAGAGAAAAAGGAGAACTTAACTGCCCCTGCCCTTGGGCCTAGAAGACACTGAAGGTTTCTAACACCACGGCAACAGCTGTACTCAATAGTTCTGGGATGTTATTCTTGGGAAAGTTTGAACTTGTCTATCATGGAGATGCAGTAGTTTCACTGAGACTGTTTTGTATGTGTCAAGAGTGAAAACCAAAGTTTGATCTTGCTTAACTTGTGTGTACTGTTAAAATGTACAGGAAAGACCTGCGAGCTTATTTGTATAGCCACTGTGTACAGCTAATGCTTTACTCATACAGGCTGAGGTGAAGCCTTTAAAGCATATGCGTTTCAGTACGCTATTGGTTTTTGATAGCATTTCATTTGCAGTCACCTACGTTCAATGCTAATTCCCTGCTAAAATTGTCAAGTCTGTAGAATAAAATTATTACTTTTATGTTTTTAATTGTTAGTGATTAGTTGTTGTTGAAGTGTTTAACTTCTTAATTATTGCTTTTCTTATTTGGTAAAATAATTTGAAAGCTAATTTAAACTCCGTTCCTGCATCTGCACAGAGACCCATTAATGTGATTGCAGAGCTGGTTTCAGTCTGGGTCCTCAGGCAGTAATTTTTGACAGTGATGTCATTCATGTGATGAAAAAGGGATGACTAGTGAATTACAAGCACGAAGGAAGCAGTAATTACACTGTTTGGGCTTGGTTTTTAATATCTGTCTGAAAGCTTCAGCTCATTTGAAGGGCAGACTTCACTGAGCTCGGTGAAGTGGCTCCTGTTCCCAGGCGTCTGCCTTCTACGTTTGCTGTCCCAAAGGATGGGAGCCTGTTCTGTGCCACCACAGCTGATTCCGACACGTTATCGCGTAGCTGCTGTGGTTTCCAGCCTCCCCCCCCCGCGTTCCGTACCGGCTTCCATTGCTGCAGGAATGGTGGCACTTGCCCGGGGCTGTGTCAGCGCAGCCCTGGTGCCAGCCCTGACCTGGAATTCCCATGGGAACTGCCAGGGAGCTGCGTGCAGCTCAGTACCTTCCGGTGAACCCGGTCCTCCTGCAGCCAGAGACTTTTGTACTGCCTTTTTATCCTAGTCCAGGCTTTATTGGACATATTCTATGTTAATTCTGGCACTTCCTACTTTTGGATGTCGAGCGTGAAAGCTTTCAGGTTCTTTTAGCCTTTTTTGCTTAACCTATCAGTGAGCAAAGTTAAAACCGTGTTTGGGTTTTCCAAGACCTTCAAATGGGTTTGCATGTATTTTCTTGCTTAGTCGCTCAGCATTACAGTTGGTTTTGTTTTCCTTTCCTCATCAGCTGCCAAGTGACCTTCCATTGTAACAAGACAGGCAAGGGCAAAGAAGAAAACTAACAAAATAAAACGACATGCAGAGCACTAAGCAAAGCCAGATATAGAATTAGCTGTATGCTAGGAATGACTTCCCTGCTCTGATAACCACCAGTGACTGTTAGGAATGGGCTACTCCGTTAGGAATAAGGTTAGTTTGATAATTTTTTTTTTTTTTCTTCAGGACAAGTGTCAGATCTGACTATGTAAATCCTTTTTCCAATGAGGGTATGGTTGGTTCTGCTTCATCCAGGGCTTTTTCTTCCTTCCTTTCTTCTCTCCTTCGTGAGCTTTTATATTCCCTGACTCTGAACTGAGTCCATATCCATGCTATTTAAAGGAGCTTTACCAGATACAACCTTATTACAGCTGAAAAAGGCAACCAGTTACCCAAAGCAGGAATGAACATCACTGACATTTCACCTTTAAGGCTTTTTTTCAGTGTTACTTAATTGCATCGGGTATTCTGTGAATAAATATATCAGCTTTCTGTGTGTCTTGCTGCCAGCCAGACACTAAAATACGTAAGTCTTTTGGCTAGAATGTCCAGGTTTATGGTGGTACTTACTCCCCTGAGTAAGGGCTTGATCAAGTTACTAGCATGAGGGACAGCATGTGAGTTGATCCAAGAACATACCCCTCAGCATTAAAGATTCAGCTATTCGGAAATGGTTTCAAATAGCATGGCTGTACTGTCAGAAGAGAACAAACTTAATTTTAAAGTTTCAAAATTATCGGCGGCTTTCCAGAGGAATTAGTAGATCAGCTCTTGTAGCAAGCTGTGTTAGCTGAAATGGAGAGGTCTTTAAGATCAAGGCCTCTTGCAACAGATGTCATCCAACATAAGGCAGGTTCTTGCTGTCAGGTGCCATGCTACCTTGGCCTAATCCCTTTAAAAGATCAGCAGATCATGTATGTTGCTGTCACAACCTGCTTTTATTGCTAGGAAATCGCTTTGAGAAAAGGACATTCCTATAAAAATCATGAAGAGTCCTGTTAGTACATTTTTGTGAATATTATCTCTGCTTTTGCCCCCCCCACCCCCTGGCCCCATCCAGGAAAGATATCCTGGATCCTCCTGCCGTGCATGTAAAAGCAGACATGGAAGAGAGAGAGATTCGTGACATTTCTCCTTTAGAAAGCTTGACACAGTTATTGCATCAGATGCCGGAACTGAAACTCGGCTGGGTTTCGCATTTGCTGCTCCAGCTTGGTGCCTGGGGAAAGCTTTCGTCATCGCTATTCTCTGCTGTTCAAAGATCCAGAAATGGAGACATGATCAATGGACTTGGGCCCTGAGCTTCCACCTCAGAAGTTGAGATCCTCCTGCCCCTGTTATGACAGTCATAGCATTATGACCTTTTCTTGTAACAGGAAAAAATGATAAATAATCAAAATTTCAAACTTTCCTGCAGTTTTGGTTCCCTCCTATTATTTATACACATTAGAAGCAACGCAAATTACAACCCAAAATAAAAACCCATAACCCTACTCCTGCCAAAGACTGCTAATTGATCCTCTTCCCAAATCTGAGAGGATGTGAATAGGTTTGGGCACTTCATAAATAATAAGAGTTACTGGCAGTCAAGGATAACGTGCTTGAAATGGCTCTCGCAGCAGTGTTGAATCCTGATGAGACTTAAGAGAACCTGAGTTTAAAGAAAATAAAATGCTACATTTTAATTATAATATTGATAGGGTTGGAGGTGCAGTGGTATACACACCACTTGCAAAACTGGCATCTGTTTGCTAGCAGGGTTGGACTGCTGTGTACCTCAGTCAGGATGCAGCAATATTCATTAACTGGGATAGCAGAAAAGCAAGAGTTAAAATTATCTTGATTTTTTCCTAGATTGCAGCTAGAAAGTGCTGTCACTGTAATTGGTTCCAGAACTTGAGTTAATGTTGCTGTGATTAATTACTGTGAAGTACCTTTGTTGAAAGTTGATTTATTTCAGAGAAGGGCAGTAATTTATGTCAATATTTTTATTTTCATGAATGCTAATCAGAGAGGGAAGAAGCCTAGAATTTTGTCCAACACTGTATTTATTGTCTCAGTGTGACCAACAATGTTTTTTCTTGTTTTCTTTATGGACAGTGCTGGAAAATTTCCCAGCATTGAACTTGCTTGTAAGACAAAAGAGCCATGCTCACTGAGTTGTTAGGAAGCACTTTGTTAAGGACAGCTTCCTTGACTGGAAGTACATGTAAATGAAGGGGAAAAAATTCCACAAACTTGCCAGACAATAATTTATAATTTTACAGTGACATAATAATCCTGGGTATCGGTTTTGTCACTGTGATCATTTGACTGCCCTCAGTAGCAGAAAATCCCCAAAATTCCAAGTTGAAATCTTCGCTTTCGAATAAATGAGCTTTCTTTCTGCAGCCTAATATCAGCAATGACATTTACCAGCCATTTTCATTCTAATGAGATTTTTCTTGTCTGAACTTGAATTGTTGCCATTCAAGGAAATGCTAACCTGAAGATAAACTCCTTTAAAGTCAAAGTACCGTTTGACTTTGTTCCTCTTTCTGTTTTCACTGCCTACACAGTTTGTTTACTCGGTGGATTTTTTTTTTTTTTTTCCGGGCTGGGACTTTCCAGTGACGTGTTCTCAGCTGTAAGGAGAGGGGAGTTTCTCACTGCTGAGCAACACTGGGATTTTCCATTTTCCAAAACTTTTCCCGTGTGCCATTTATAGTTGATGATATGGATCTAGTTTGGTTTTGTTTCCTGCTTTCTTTAAAGAGATGTGCAACTACAAGTCTTTCAATTCTCCTGCTCCGACGTCATCAGCTTTCTTTTGTCTGCTGAGGGCAACTGCAAAGTTACAGCCGTGTCCCCCCTGCTTCACCATTTTCCATAGCCACCAGCTGTACTGCATTTCCCCTGGCACAACCTTCTTCCAGACCTCCTCAGTTGTCAGTGTTACTATTTGATCCCACCTATCTTCTGTCTTCAGTTGCATGACTTAGTACATTAGTGTTGTTATCATACTACCAAGGCACCAACCTTCTTACTGATCTCAGTTATGTCCTCTTTCAGCTGCCCTTGTTGTTTTTCATTCTTATTCTGCCTCAAATTCAAAATAGTTACCTGCAAGTCCTGGCCGAGGCTAGCTTCTGCTGCCTACCTGGCTTATTCTCTTTTGATGTCAACCATTTCTTTATCCTTTATAACATCTCAGTAAATTACCTTATGCTCTCTGTTGCTATGACTTCCTTGCTGCTGTTTTCTGCAATGCTCCTTGTATCCAGAATACCCACCACCTCTTGTCTTGTTTTTAAATCAACCCTTGGGAGTAGGCAAGTCAGAAACTACACAGATAGTAGATTTCTACTTATTATACTAAACAGAAGACATTACAAAAAAAAAACAACAAACATCTGTATCAGAGGATAGCAAGGTCTTGTTATTTGGTTCTGATCTATTTTAATAATATGCCAAAAAATGCAAACTACTTGTGAAATAATACTAGTATAACTGTGTGTGTGTTGTGATGTATCTGGTAAGAGATGGGAAGATTAATCCCCTGCTTCTCACATAGGCTCTTGAGAATGGGATGATAGAATACCAAATACCATGTGACAAGGTGAGGTGATGCAATATTTCTAAAATATGTGCAAGTCCCCCAATCAAACTATGTCGTTTTTCCTTTTAATCACAGAAAGTTTGAGTAAATACTGGAGTAAGGCTACTGCTAAATGGAATTCCGGTCTCCCTGCCTTCCTTCTGGCATGTACACACACAGGGCTCTCACTGACTTTATGAAGAGCTGTATATATGCATGTGGAAGTTATGAAACTTAATAGGATGTATTAATTACTTGCAACAAACCTTGGAAAAAAACAGTGTGAAAGAAGGATGGGCTTGAATATTAGGAGTACAGGGTATGCCAAACTAGTTCCTCCCATTTGTTCACCAAGATTTACATGTACATATTTTAGTATGGCAAATAAATTCCTTTTTAATAAGATTATTCTCCCCTTACTGTCAGTGATGCACCATCAATGGACAAGTGCAAGTCATAACCAAAGGACTAATTCTACATAAGTGTTAAAATGTCTGTTTTAAAACAAAAATTAATGTTGGGCTGTACAGAGTTG